CAATAACACTACGTTAGGGTTACACATTTTATGCATATTCTGAGATTATTAGTGTATATTGTGGAGTGCACGTCATCTATTTAATTCAACTTATTATTCAACTGCTGTAATTTTGTAATGCTTTGCCGTCATTCTATTGATGTGTTTTGACCAATTAGACTAGTTAGAAGCTGGAAATTTGGCAACATTTAATGTTGGGAACGGCGTCAGTTTAAACCATTTCCTCGTACATTGTTTACACTTGGATGTAAGTCCCATGTTACTGCACGGGCTCTAACTCGTTGAGAATTGGTTAACACGCACAGGGTTCTAGTCTGACTGGTAGTTTTGCTGGGATTTGAGCCTTGTGCGGCGTGACTTAAAAATATTGACCTTTAATCTGTACCAGTTATATTTGATAAACCGTTAACTGCTAGTATATAATTGCGTCTGTTTTATGTTCACACTGACTACACCAGGGTCACCAGTTATTGCTTGTCGGTTGTATACAAATGTACAAGTCACAATTAATGCTAAAAAGTAGCAGTGGGGAAAATAACCCACAACACAGGGGAAGTCTTGTTTGGTAGCCACACTTGACTCCGCATTGCGACACTCATTAACTTACAGTACATGTGGTCATGAATCGAAGAAGGATAACATTAACCATCTATTCTACATGAATGACCTTCAGTGATGACATCAAAATGAAGTTTGGTCTAGAAAAGTGTACCCATGCAGCCTTCAAACAGGGGAAATTGACCCAAACTGACAAAATAACTATTGACACTGACACAACCACCAGAGAGCTAAAACCAGAGGAAACCTTCAAGTATTTAGGAATGAATGAAAGAGACACATACAACGCAAGCGGAAGTCAGGAAAGAAAGTTACAACAGGTTAGAATGATCTTAAAAAGTGAACTCAATGCTGCCATTCAAATCTGTAACAGATTCGAAGTTGTAACTTGCAGCTTTAACATCATCAACTAAAAAATTCAGTGAGATCAAGAAATTAGATACCAAAACCCCCAAATTCCTCGCTCTAGAAATATGCACCATTCACAATCTGATGGGGCCGTCTTTACCTGCCTAGAATAGCAGGAGGGAGGGGCATGATGCTGCTGGAAATGTCCTTCAAGACAACCACCATTGGCCTGGACACGTACCTTGTAAACTCTACAGACCCCCTGCTCCAACTGGTACAACAACATGCGGAGAAAAATTTAAATACAAGAAAATGAAAATGGGGGGGGGTTACAAATTATGCAAAGAGAGTAAAGAAAAAAGCCAAACAACATGCTCAGGATATAATGCAAAAGAAAAGGATCAAAATATATTGAAAAAGGCAGATGCTAACCAACATATAACTAATCAATGGCTAGTAAGTGCTGGAAACTAAAACAGAAAGAACTGATTGTTTTAGCACAAGACCAGAGCTTAGCAACTAGATCATAACCATATCATCAAAGATGACACAGATCCCTATTTCAGATATGTGGCAGATATAAGGAGACCGTCGACCATAATGCATCAGGCTGCCCTGAATTAGCAAAGACAGAATACATTCAAAGACACAAGAGGGCAGCTACATAAATGCACTGGGCGATCTGGGGAATGACAACTAGAACAGTGCCAGTAGTCATCGACAGGATGCAATACAAGCGCTACAAAGGAAATTGTGACGCAGATTCTGTCTTCTAAGGGTAATTTGTATTGGATATGTCTACCCTTCTTTATTTCTAATACATGACTGCTCATTCTGAAACGAATCATTGTGATATTGTTTCAGAATACATAAGATCAAATGTGGTTTAAAAAGTGTACGAGTCTTTAAACATTCTTAGTTTTCTATTATTTGTTACACTCAACATCAAAAACTCTATATAGTTACCTTTGTCGGATATTTTGTATGTTTGTTTGTTTCATTTTACTGCATGTTATTTTACTGTTATGTTTTTGCTTTTGAAAGGCTTGTTTTGTAATATTATTATCTGGTAAGTCACAAATAGCAGTATTTAATAAGATTTGTCTGAATATCTATAAGTAATGAAACACTTTAGCTGTATATACGTATACGTACATACGTAATTTTTCGCACAATTTTAAATGTAACTGTTCAATTGCTGTTATGTCCCCAAGTTGTTGATCCATATAACAGAATTGGTTTAATACATATCTGAAAAAGTGCAAATCATGACTATTGTTTATTACAATTTTTAATTTGTGGCAGTACTCAGATAATTTATTTAATATACATGAAACTTGTAATAAATTTAAAACAAGGCAATTTCTATTTCCTTCCAAATTCGCTATCACTGATTGTAGATTTAATTATGCCCGTTTTCCCTGATTATGAATCTAAATATACGCGTTATGCATTTGCTATTTGTAAAAGTTATATTTGTAGGGAAACACGTCCAATTAGATCACTGTAAATAACGTTTTTGGAGCAGTTTTTCTAACCCAAATTTATCATATGCGATACGATGTTGGAAAACCAAAATATGACTTAGAACATTAATCATATACATAGGTAAACGTACATTTCACTCAACCTTGAGGCAGCAGCATTTTTAATACTAACTAAATATTTTGCAATATTAATTCCATAAGTTTAAGCAATATACTTGACGAGTAAAATATGTTTAACCATTTGGGAGAAGTTGACAATATGAGAATTTGCACAGAATTTATTGTGTCAAAATTCAAATGCGATGTCATGAAGTTAGTACATGCAGAATAAATACTGGATGATTGCGAGTCTTATTTAATTATTCATGATTAACGCACTGTCACGTATATATTTCCATTTCTTTATGAATGCTAGAATATGTCCACCTCCCAAACCAAATAAGATTTTTGTTGCATTTGTCAGTTCAAGGAGACCCCCTTTAATACAGAGGATTAAAATAGTAAATCCGTGAGTTGACATTGGATATGCCATGTATTTAGTTGCTTTCGGCAATCATTGTTATATACAGCAAAAGCAAATTTAGCACTTACATGATTCACTGCCTCATTTAAAACAGCTTGGGTGGCTAAAGCATAACAAAATATAACCTACTGCAAAGTGTTATTACGTTTACAGTTATCTGTATAATTAATATTAATGCATACATCTTATAAACCTGCAAGACCACATTTGAATTTTGTGTATCCTACTGCAAACTGAAAAATCTACCTGTGTGCAAAATTTCCTTTTTTTTAAATTTTGGACGTTTGTCCTTGAATTCTGATGTTGTACTTCAAGGTGTTAAAATATGCCAGGAGGCCCAGGGTAGGATGAAAACTAGGTTAATCTGAGATTACATCAAATCAGCAGAAATATCTGATGACTCGTATCCTGCTTCGCATAAAATTGAGCATCTTAAATGTTCATGGTATAATGTTCCAGCTTTTGGCTTCCATATGTTACCCTGAAGTACTTTATATGCTAGTTGTGCAACCAGAGTTACAATAGAAAAATGTTCAGCCAATCATGTTCTTTCTATAAGAGGTATATAAATTATAGTTGGGTTTCCGTCTTTAGTAGGGAAATTCGGGGACAAAACAATCCACAAGAATAACAAATTAAACAAAAACAACTGCCATTACATTAGAGTCAAATTAGTAAGGGAATGATATATATAAACTCCAAATAAAGAGGCGTTTTAAAAAAATGAGTACATCCTGCTCCACATGTGGCATCTACCATACTTATTTCTGAGTCATAATCAGAGGTTTACATCAGAAAAGTTACATCATTATCATCCAAAATCATCTGCTTATTAATGTTTTTGTATTTGTATCTGCTTAAAAAACATTTAAGGCTAGTGTTCACTGCAAACCCCTTAGTTCAATGGCTCTGACATAGCGAGTGACTGTAACTCCTGGAACTAAACAAAGTAACTTTTCACCTATACCTCACGGCTACAAAATAAAGTCTGTGCAGTTGTATGAAGATGCTGAATTGACTGAAAATCAAATTTTTCATTTGGTTAACTGTGCATGTGCTGCTTAATAATTGCCCAGAACACATTCATATGCAGAGCATTTCTGCAAACATATGGCTGAAAGTGACAAACTGCCATCCATAATAAGTGCTGTGACAACATATTTAGCAAGTACTGTGTGGGTAGCTGTCTCTTTTGGTCATGATGTGGAGAAGCTGTATGCCTTCGTCATGATCGAACAAGACATCTCCCCAACAACGTTGTACTACAGCTATGCAAGGTGACAAAAGCCACTTTAATTATTTGCATGCATGCACCTCACCTTGACCTAAAAATGTGATTAAACATGGCTTTCTACTGTAAGAATCAAGGGGTGGCTATAATGTTTCTGTTCAGATTTGTAGAAAGATTACCTTTCAGTTTTAGATAATTTATTTTCAGGAAGTTAATACTGCTGGACTGTAAAAAAGCAACCTAATGTAGTATAATGCAACATATACCTGTTGTACAATGTATCCCTCTATTAGAACCAATTTTATTATGGTTCGATCAAAATGATTGTAAAATCCAGACCAGTTGCTATAATATGGGCTTTGCTAATACAACCTACAATTTTTATAAGCTCATTTGTATAAATTTCCCAAGAACTAATTTACATCTAGACTCCAGGAAACGAAGCTAGAAGTTTCAGCAGTTTTCAGATGAAAACACTGCATAAACCCAATAGCCATCCAATGGGCTAGAAAAAGATGGAACTGTTCTTTCAAAATTCCTTAGTATGAAATAGCATGTGCAAATTTACATCAAATTTATCAGTGAACTGAATTTCATTTAAATTGAATTGAAAGCTTTTGAGATATATCAGTAGAACAAACTTGGAATGGACACAACACAGACATGGTAAACCCAAAGCCCATTTTTGTGCTTCACACATGGGAGTCAATAATTGAAGCTAACCTGGATTCCATTCATCGCAAAAAAAAATAAAAATGTCTAATTTACAAGATATTATTTTGGGGCAACAAGCAAACACAACTTGACTGGAGCTCTTGTTTCATATACAATTATTGATAGCTTCATTTTATCACTACAACAATGCTTTGGTCTTTCCTTTCTTAATGTTCGTTGCTGCATTGACTTTGTTTCTTTTGGATATCACCTTCATTTGTCCGTTATTCAAATCTGTCCTTGCATTTGTCTCTGCAAGAGACTGAAATATTGGTGATAAGTATTCAGTCAAAAGAAGTGATTCAGTTCTTCCTTTACGCTGAGCTTTTCTGAAGTCCATCAGCAGTGCAGCAAGTCCCCATGGAGGGATGTCATCATCATTATTTGTTTTCCTGAGTCCATGTTGTTCTATAAGCCACACAGCTTCCTGCATTCTGTCCACAATGCGACTGAGTTGGTCTGGATGTACATTCCTTGTAACATTCAAATCAACTTCAAATGGATTCTCAATGTACAATGGGTAATCCTCCGGCTTAGGAAATTTGTCACCACGTCTTAGAGAAATAGCAAACTTTTGAAAGTTGAATCTTGCATAAAAGTCAAAGAATTCATACATAAGTTGACCTGCAAGAAAAAAAAATAGAAATTAGAAATGTCCATGTGAATCAGGGTTAGGTCAAGAAATGCCTAACAATGTTTTAATCAAGAATATTAACTGCAAATTATAGATCTTTGGATCAAAAGATTTTTGAAGAAATTTAAATGAAATTGAAAAGTAATCTATGATATAAATGCAATTTAGAAATACCTAATGATTGCGTATTGAGTGATGTGGGTATACTATTGATATCACTGAGGAATGTACAGTTAACATCATCCACAATACACTGGTCAGAGGAATCTGAAAGAAACAACCAGATAAAGTAGAAATGATGACTTTGACAAATACAAAAATATGAAATCTAATAATATAACAAGCAGCAATGTCGAAGCTGTACAAGCAGCAATGTTGAACAAAATCCATTCATAAATGACCGGTTCCGGAATGCCAGAAATACTGGATTTTTAGCACAAAAATCGGATCATCAAACCAATATATTTGATATCTACAACATGATGTATAATGAATATATAAAATTTGCTTGAACATAATCAATCAAAGTATGTCATAAATATGGTACTGAAAAACAAAATTATGTGCATCAAATCCCATAATGTCAACAGCCAAGGTCAGGTTCCCGAATACCAGAAATGCTTGATTTTGATGATTTTTCAGCACAAAAATGGCCACAATTTGGCCATCTTGAATCAGATCGTGAAACAAATGAATGTGCATATGTATAATAATATGTATAATGTATGTATGAAGTTTAAAGGTAATCGGTCTAAGCATCTCTAAGTTATAGGTCAAGAAGTACCCACACACAGACACACACATGCACACAAGTCAATCAATAAAAAAAATCATTATTACAGCAAAGTATGGTATGATGTGTGCACGTGTAGGACTGTTTAAATGTGTTTACCTACCTGCCATTGCACATAAATAGTCTAATGTAGGCACAACTGATGGCGATCTAGTTTGTAAGAAATAAATTACCATCAAAGTTATCCCAAAATTGGTAATCCACGGTCCGGGGCAACTTGTTGTGATACCATTGTATCTTGCCCAATGTCTAAATGCAAACACTAGAGGGCGTACTCTTGAATCATAATTGCCATAGAGATACAGCAATTCTGTGGTCTTTGTTGCAATGCTGTGTGAAGAATAAAAGTTGTGTGAATTATGACAAATTGTTGATGCAATATACTGCATGATTTGTTTGTATTTTTCAAACTTGGTACAAAGAGAATACATGATATCACACATATTATACATTATCTTTGATCTTCTTTTGATTGATATAAAATAGGCTTAAATCCTAAACTTGAACATGTTTGTAACAGATTCACAGATATAACTAGGCCAAGTGCAATTAAATTTGGTATGATGACTATACATTTTGGGTTGCATTGTTATTTTTTCAAGATGGCTAACTAATGTTTTTATTTTGTTTTCATTATGTTCTTAACTATATTTTTCCGGTGTGCTGTTACCAGTTATAGTCAAACTTAAAGCACATACATATATGTACACTATATTGTACGTGTACATGTATACAATATGATCTAAACAAATTTAGCTGAGTGGTGGCCATTTTCTTAATAAAATTGTCAAATCAAAATACATGTACTTAAACTTGACCCCCATCTGGTTTTCAGAATGACTGGATCAATGTAAATACATAAATGTGTGTAGCAGATGCACATTTCTATTTTCTTTAGATCAGATATAAGATATGCATCAAAGTTACTGTCTTTCAACTTTTCATTCAAGCTTAATCTCAGTGACCTCATATGATTTTGGAAGATTAATACAATTAAATTATTGACAAGGATCACATCATTTACAATGACTTGTTAGTTTGTGAGCTTCAGGTCAACATTTAAAATTCCTAAAAAAATATGTGGGTTTATTTAGTGAAAAGTGGCAGATTTGGACAAACACAAACAAAGCACACTTACATGTATAACCAGTTTCATGCAATGTTTTACATTCAATTGTACAGCTGAACAAATATTTCTGGTCGACAAGTTTCTAAAATTGATGCATAGATATCTTTTCATTTTTATTCTGAAATTGTCATAAAATTCATGATTTTTCATGAAAACTGAATTAAAGGGGGAAAAAATGATGACATACATGTTTTAACTGACCAGAAATTTGAATATTTTTTTGTTTCATAAACAAATGCTATTGTCACAGTAAACAGCTTTATTTCACTATAGAAACAATCTCTTGAACTACACAAGCTAATTTTGCAGCATTGAGCATCTCACTGGAGTCATTGAGCCGGTGTGTCACATTGAACATGTCACTGAAGTCATTGAGCCAGTGAGTCACATTAAACATTTCACTACAGTCCTTGTGTGAGGGAGTCACATTGGCCAGTGAGCCAAATTGAACATTTCACTGGAGCATTGAGCCGGTGTGTCACATTGAGCATCTCACTGGAGTCATTGAACCAGTGAGTCACATTAAACATTTCACTGGAGTCATTGAGCCAGTGAGTCACAATGAACATTTCACTACAGTCCTTGGGTGAGGAAGTCACATTGGCAAGTGAGCCAAATTGAACATTTCACTGGAGCATTGAGCCGGTGTGTCACATTGAGCATCTCACTGGAGTCATTGAACCAGTGAGTCACATTAAACATTTCACTGGAGTCATTGAGCCAGTGAGTCACATTGAACATTTCACTACAGTCCTTGGGTGAGGAAGTCACATTGGCAAGTGAGCCAAATTGAACATTTCACTGGAGCATTGAGCCGGTGTGTCACATTGAACATTTCACTGGAGTCATTGAGCCAGTGAGTCCCTTTGAGCATCTCACTGGAGTCATTGAACAAGTGAGTCACATTGAACATTTCACTAGAGTCATTGAGCCGGTGTGTCACATTGAACATTTTACTGGAGTCATTGAGCCAGTGAGTCACATTGAACATTTCAATGGAGCCATTGAGCCATTTGTTTCCTATGGCATGTCTGAAAATTTAGCAAGGAAACATCAGGTGAGATAACAACCAGTGCAATTATATGACAAAATTACCTTATTTTAGTGGGATTTTAAGGACAAACTGTATTTTCATTGTGTTTTGTGAAATCCGCTGAAAATCTGTCATTTTGTGCATATCATTATTTTACAGATTTACAGTGAATATACAGTAATGCAACGAGGTGTATAGAGAATATTAAGGTATGAGACATGTATCAGTGACACATTTTGGTAATACAAAATGTACCAAGCTTGAATGAAATCATCCTACATTTGTAGGCGTTTCTGATGACTGAAAAGACTTGTTCAGTGTTTATCTGATTTTAGGATGAAAATGACCATCAGTAGATTAAATTGAACCCAACAGTTACCTAGTATCTGTGATGTTCAAACACGAAGTTTGGATGAAATCAGCTCAGGCATGTCTGGGAAATGGCTGAGGACAGGTGGACATACATGTATTGTGTTTTTCTGCATTATTTAGAACAAAAAGTTGGTCAAATATCACAGAATACTAAAACAAACTGACATGCAATCTTTGTACCAAATTTAAACAAAATCCATCTAGGGATGTTCAAAAAAATTAGTCAAAATAAAAACACAAGTCAAAATTTTCAGACTGTGTTCAAATGAGAATTACGAAACAAGACTCAATGCACAATCTGTTTACACTAATTGTTCAATTAAATACACGTATGTGGAATATCAAAAATTCAGAGACATTCATTATGGGTATAAAATACAATGTACCTGTTGTTTGAAGAGAGATCGCACTGTAGATTTGCTGCCTTGTGGTGAAATTTCACAATCGGGCATCTTGCTTTCAGTATCCTTTGCACACTCACACAGTGTGGTACATTTTCTTGTAAAAACGTTGCTACTGTACCGAGTGTCTGCTGTGTTGCAGCCCTTTCAGAAGATGCTGATTTTGTGTCAAACACCATCTGAAATCTATTTCTTCCCTACAAAATTAAATAGTAACACAAATAAACTAAGCTGCAATTAAAATCTGTGTTAATAATAATGAACCCTACATGTATTGATATACGTTGATATGAGTTTATGAAACCCATACATTAATGTGAGCTATGTAGGACTGTGATGTGTTGACACTGATGTGAGTAATATGGGGGCCATACATTGATGTGAATAATATGGGGGCCATATGGTGATGCAAGTATTATGGAATCCACATGTTGATATGAGTAATATTGGTCCCATACATTAATGTGAGCGATGTAGAACTGTGATGTGTTGACACTGATGTGAGTAACATGGGGGCCATACATTGATGTGAATAATATGGGGGCCATATGTTGATGCAAGTATTATGGAATCCACATGTTGATATGAGTAATATTGGTCCCATACATTAATGTGAGCGATGTAGAACTGTGATGTGTTGACACTGATGTGAGTAATATGGGGGCCATACATTGATGTGAATAATATGGGAGCCATATTGTGATGCAAGTATTATGGAATCCACATATTGATGTGAGTAATATTGGTCCCATACATTAATGTGAGCAATGTAGAACTGTGATGTGTTGACACTGATGTGAGTAATATCGGGGCCATACATTGATATGAATAATATGGGGCCATATGGTGATGCAAGTATTATGGAATCCACATGTTGATGTGAGTAATATTGGTCCCATACATTAATGTGAGTGATGTAGAACTGTGATGTGTTGACACTGATGTGAGTAAGATGGGGGCCATACATTGATGTGAATAATATGGGGGCCATATGGTGATGCAAGTATTATGGAATCCACATGTTGATGTGAGTAATATTGGTCCCATACATTAATGTGAGTGATGTAGAACTGTGATGTGTTGACACTGATGTGAGTAAGATGGGGGCCATACATTGATGTGAGCAATGTAGAACAGTGATGTGTTGACACTGATGTGAATAATATGGGGGCCATATGGTAATGCAAGTATTATGGAATCCACATGTTGATGTGAGTAATATGGGACTCACACAATATGTAACTGTACTGAGAAGTTATTAAGATTTGTCATACTGACTATTAGCCATGATACATGTATTACAGTATTATTTTAATAATTTTATGTCATTTATCTGACAAATTTGTAAAAGACTTCATACATACACCAGGTACATATGTGTCAAAATCATATTGCACCACTCACCGTTTTCACAGGAACAACACCATTTTGGGAACCTAGTTCCATATACATATCAAGATCACTTCCTGCTTTACCAAAGGAATTAACTGTAGAACCAAATGGATAGATTGTACAATTTGGAACAATTTTTTCTATGCCTTCTTCAATCAAAGAACACACAAGGAATCGTTTGTGTAAATCTTCATCAGCCAGCTCTTGTTCCTTTGTTAAAATCATCATTTGTTCATCAACCTGGATGAAAAAAAAATCAAGTTAGGTTTTTACCACTGGAGTTAGGCACCACAAAATAGTCATAAGGCATATAGAGCAGGGAATGCAATGAAGTTAGGCATCTACTCAATGAAATTAGACATGGCCAATGGAGTTAGGCAACCCTGTATCAATGGAGCAGAGTTCACAATGAATATATATCAACAGAGTTAGGCATATTTAAGCAGGGCATGCAATGGAGTTAGGCATCTACTATTCCAACTAGGCCTCTATCAAAGAAGTCAGTATTAATAAAAGCATTCACCAAAATGATTCAACCAACTATTAACCAACTATTAACACTACTAAAACAAGTCATTGTCAATGACACGTCCCCGTTCCGTTCATATTTGAGTGACATATACATTCAAAGCAGATCATGACCGAAATGCACCTGCATATGTACAACACATTGTGCTAAATCTGAACAAAATCCATCCATGCATGACTGAGATCCGGTTCTGGAATTGTGAAAATACGTGATTTTGATGCATTTTCGGCCTTAAAATGGCCATCATTCCGCTATTGTTAAGCGGATCATGAAACAAATGCAAATATCTATTTGTGACATGATGTACCATGTGTGTGTGAAGTTTGAACTTGATCAATCCAGACACGTCTTGGATACGGATCCAGAACTGAATTCTTTAACAAAATGGCCGCCAGTCGGCCATTTCGAACTTGATCCGAAAAAAAAAAAGACGTGCATCAAGGTCCTATTATGTTTAATGTATGTACCAAATTTGAACAAAATCCATCCATGCATAACTGAGATACGGGTCCGGAATTTTGAAAATGTGCGATTTCAATGCATTTTCGGCCTTAAAGCGGCCCCCATTTGGCTATCGTTAATGAGATCATGAAACAAATGCACATACATATTTGTGACATGATGTACCTTGTGTGTGTGAAGTTTGAACTCGAT